AGAGGCATAACAGCAATGGGTTGGAGGCAACGTTGTGTGATAGGCATTGCCAAAGACACTATTCTCTTGCTAAAATTAAAACCCATGCGCTAGAAAGTCCTACATTACTGCCTTTGATTGCTGCATATTATATTCTCTTCTGTCCCTTTTATATCTGATCCTTTGTCTTCTTATCAGTGGCATCACTGGGGGGATGAGGGAAGTGCGGATTTCACTTCAGGGCAGGAGGGTGAATGCTCATCCTTCCCGGCTGCTCCACCATTGGGCTTTCTCCCTGGAGATAATGATGCCACTGCTTCTTATTATTTCTTCCTCTCCTTTAACAACAGATTTATGTTCATTTTAGTAATACTGGACAGGGAACGTCACCCAGATGGATCACAGCTGCAGTGAACATGGTCTGTGAAAAGAAAACTACTCAGAACAAAAGCGGCATGATCCAAGGGATACATCTGTCACTGGTCAGGGAAAATCTTAATCACTTCAGCTATTTCTTCCTTAAAATATTTGTGCATGTAAAGGCAGATCAAATGTTCTGGGCAGAAAGGAACATGAGAGAAACTTTTGGCAGGAATAAATATTTTATTGTTCCATAAAATATAGAACAAAAGCCCACCAAATCCCTACACACAACCAGCTGCAGTGCCAGTGATTCACAGCTTTAAAGAAAAAAAGAGGATACTGCTGCGTTTAGGAAACTCATTAGCTGTGTTACATCATCCCATTAGAATGAATCCAGATAAAGTTGTACCATCTCTACATGCTGCACATATAAGGGCATTAAAAGCCTCACGAGTGTCAGGGGAAAGCTTGCAACATGAGATGGTACAAAATTATAGTATCTCCTCAAGGGAAGGCTGGATTCATTTGTGGGTTATAGTGAGCCAAGTGCCAATGTTGATTCAAGGTGTACAAAGAGATTATAAACAAGCATGATAATGTAGCTGTGTTTCTGCTGGCAAAAGATTAATCCAGCAGTCATTGACGTCAGTGTTAGAACTTCTATGGATTTCCAATAGGAAATGGGGCTGGATCTAGTTCTGTTACAATATAGAGTATCATTTGTGTCTGAAGTGTCTGGCCATGTGTCTTCTACTAGATGTTTAAGCAGTTGACACTTTATGGTCCTTCTGGCCATTCTCTTTCCCACTGCACCAAAAAAAGCATAGAAGATAAGCAGGGCTGGCCCTACCATCAGACAGACAGTGGATGTGAAACATCATTATAAAGCATCAGGAAAAGGTTAGTCACCCATTGTTATTATTATCACATTTTTACTTTCAGGGGCATGAGGTGCTTCTGAGGTCATCTTGCATTTTTTAGGCATAGTGACTGCTATTCACTTGGAACATTTCATACCTGTGGAACACAAAATTGTTCCAACAATAATATAAAACACACTTTCTGGTTCGGGAGGTGGTATGAATATTACTTATTCAGAGTTCGGGGAGTCACCCGCATGCTTTTTGTTGTGTTCCACACTGTAGTAGCATTGCTCATGCACACTGTACTTTCATGCTCCATTTCCACTGAGGCCTGCATGGCATCACTGATGCAACTGATACATGAAGCTGGATCTCACGGGTATTTACTGAGAAATAAGTCTCACTGTGTTAATCTGATCTTATTCCTAGTATGTGTCCATAGTATTCCAGGCTTACTGTCCTCTGTTTGGAATGTAATGTCATTGCGTAGTACACATTTGAGCCAATGCAGTGTAGCAGTTGGAATGCTGCTTTAGGTTTAGGTCCAAACTATTTGAGAAACTGTATTTCCCAATACAAACCAGCTAGAGCCCTAAGATCCTCAGGAGAAGGCTTTCTCTCGGTCCCACCATCCCAGGCTCGCTTGGTGAGGACATGAGAGAGAGCCTTCACGGTGGCTGTTCCCACCTTCAGGAACTCCCTTCCATGGGAGGCTAGGCTGGTCCCCTCCCTGTTGGCCTTTCGCTGGCAAGCAAAAACATTTTTATTCAAGGAAGCTTTTTAAAATCATGCAAGCCTGGATTTATTGGGCGGGGTGTGTGTGGTGAAATTGGTTGGTTTAAATTATTTTTTTTAACTTTTGTATGTTTTAAATTTTAATCTCCTAGTGTTTTAATTAGGTTATTTTTATTGTTTAAAAATGTTGTTTTACTGTGTTTTGATATTGTTGTGAGCCACCTTGGGTCCCTTTCTGGGAGAAAGATGGGATAGAAAAATAAATAAATAAATAAATGGACTTGACTAGAGAAATCTACTGCTCAATCATAGAAACCTACTGGGTGACCTTGCACAAGTCACACTCTCTTGGCCTTAGACTAGAGGAAGGCAATGGCAACCTGCTATCTGAACAATTATTGCAAAAAAACCAAAAACTGTGATAGAATTGCCTTAGGGTTGCCATAAGTCAGAAATGACTTCAAGGCACACAGCAGCAGCAGCAACAACAACAACAATAACAACAACAACCAATACTTATTTAAGGATTACGATTTTAAACCAGGTCACAGTGCGGTTGAGTGCGATACCTTCATATTCTAAACCTAGGATACATTTTACAAGGAGCACTTCAGTGTCTGTGCTTTGAGGGAGGCAGTGGGAGTTACATATGCAGTTACTTTCAGTTTCCAAATTGTTTTGTAACATGTAAGAAGTGTTTTGTTACTTTCAGTCTTGGGTGGTTGTGTTGGGGGCCTCAAATGTTGTTCAAGGTCCTTTCCTTTCTTCTTCATTAATAAGATATTTTCCTTTTCCTTTTACAATGTTTTAATTGTGTTTAGACTTTCTCTTTTTATTTTTTGTTCATGATCAAGTGCTTATCACTGTTTTGTTTTAATTTCTCTGTCTTTCTGATATGAGTGTGCTATATAGAATGTAAGCAGTGAAATCCATCTCCTGTTCCTCTAATTAGGAAAAAGGTGTGTACACATTTTGAACATGACAATATACACACAATATGCCCATGCCAGTACATTGTGATATGTTGACATTTCACCGGTTGTGATATGTGAACACATATCTGCTAAGAAGCCATGATTTGTTAACTACCCACAAACCACAATATGTATCCATGGTTTGCTGTTACTATACACATTCTAACTTATTTAAACTATGGCTTGTTATGACATTCAAATCTGTAATTACAGTTTATCCCTAGTTTGTTTCCCCAGTTATCCCCCATGACAGATGGTGTAGGAAAGAGACAAATCTAAAATGCAGAAGCAAATGCAAAGTTCCTTTGGTCATTTGTCTTGTAGTTAATGGCTCAAGCAACAAACCATGGTTTAAGAAATTGTATTGATTGTATTAATATATAGACATATCCATAGGTGATATTCCAAGTTTGAACAAGTCATCTACAAATGCAATGTCTCAAATTTATAGTGTTATATAAGTACCTTTGATAACTTGAAAGTGGATATTAGATAAAATATATATTAGGATATTGCCTTTCTTAGATTAACAAAGTGGTAATTAAAAATGTGTGCAAGTTTCCAAAAATTCCAGAACTCTTCAGCAGGCAAAATGTGTGCAAGTTTCCAAAAATTCCAGAACTCTTCAACAAGCATTATGTGTCAGGGATATTTACACCAGTGAAGAAATCCAGGACAT